GCTGGGCTGAGGTCTTTTGGAAGAGCTGCGATCTCATTTCGCACGCTTAACAGTGCAAAGATTTCTGGTCGTACAATAGGTTCGTAACTTTCCTGCCGAGGTTCTTTTAGGTCTGGATTAGACGAAGACGCAAGCTCAGTTTCTGGTGAGTCCTCAGAACCTGAACAAAGGGAAAACATAGCTAACAAGATGTCATTTAAAAAATGCAGAAGCGGCCGCCTCTCCAATACAACGAAGATACGCACGTTGTTTCCTGAAATGATACAAGTGAGGAAAGGGGAAAAAGGCGTAATGACCTGCACTCCATTTTCCAGCAGATACTCACAGCTACTTCAACAGTGGATATGGTGCTGTAGGATCGAAATTGTCGCGTCGCGGCGAGAGGGACGCTGCGCGCGAAGGAATGTAGCAGAATTCAGCAGTAGGAAAGAAATACAGGAGAAATCGAAAGAAATAACATTTGAGCCATGCCAAAAATAATAATCGCATATCTATTGAGCTGTATGAAGAACGCTAGAACTGTAGTAACGAGGCGAATAATCCGCGACTGCCGTGCGCGGCGATTCGATTACACAAACCGNATGCAGAAGCGGCCGCCTCTCCAATACAACGAAGATACGCACGTTGTTTCCTGAAATGATACAAGTGAGGAAAGGGGAAAAAAGCATGAAGACCTGCACTCCATTTTCCAGCAGATGCTCACAACTACTTCAACAGTGGATATGGTGCTGTAGGATCGAAATTGTCGCGTCGCGGCGAGAGGGACGCTGCGCGCGGAGGAATGTAGCAGAATTCAGCAGTAGGTAAGAAATACAGGATCGAAAGAAATAGCATTTGAACCATGCCAAAAATAATAATCGCATATCTATTGAGCTGTATGAAGAACGCTAGAACTGTAGTAACGAGGCGAATAATCCGCGACTGCCGTGCGCGGCGATTCGATTACACAAACCGATCCTACTGCCCGTATCCCAACTCAGATCAGTCGCTCGACACTGAATATAATTTTTGTGAGACAGTCGATTTTATCAATATAAACAGTGCATTCTTATTCTTACTGAATCATATTGTGACTTGAGGGTTACGAACGTGAGATGGCATTTGGTAAAAGTCTTCACAAATTGAAAATCGCATGTTATCTTCGGTAGGCTTAGCGATGATAGCCAGACTTTAGCGCGATGCGCATCATTCAAAAGTCTTATACGACAACTACGTACCCAGAGAGGCAGCATTGGTACATTTCTCCGACCATGCTTAGCAGTGACAAAGAAAGCGTTTACACAAGAAATTTCACAAAAACCCTTTGCAGACTGACAAGGTCCCTCTGTAAAGTTAGACTTCGATACACGAGGAAAAATGACAATAAATTTAGATGTGCACTCCGCAGGAGGTACTCTTACTTCGACTATGAATGCCAGTAACTCCTTGCATGCTGGAAAATGGGGTGAGATAGACTTAAAGAAACTGACGGACCTTTCTGATTTCGAACGCCTTTTTCGAATTTGTTTACCGTCTCCACTTTCTTCGCTGCTACGTTTTTTAGAATGCCTCGAACGGTGAGATGGAGAAAAGTCACTATCATCAGAATCTACATCAGCTGCAGAAAATCCACCTTCACCCTGGAATGTGATGGTCATATAAGCGATATAATCATCCCTTAAATAGAAGCGTTTTACATCTGACATGGCCGCATCCAACTGTGCTTTCTCGCTTCTTTTCCTTTTTGTAGCTGTCTTTGAGACATCTCGTCCAGTGCTGCTCTTTGGCTTCAAATCTTGCTCTGATACATCATGATTGCTAGACACCTCACACACCGCGACGTTTGGAGAATCTAAAAAGCACAATCTCAGATCGTGTCAAGTGGTTTCTTACCATAAGTTTGTTCGAGGATCCAATCCCGGATTCAACTGAGCCAGCGAAGTATTCCACCGAGACTGGGTCGTTAACTAAAACTAGATCCGCTTGGTAGGATAAAAGCACTGACTTATACATCAGTTGGCAGGATTGTAAGTCATTGTATGCATTCAAACGCCTGCCCTTATCATAGCAGAAGTCGAATCCGTGGACTTGTTCCAAAGCGGAAAAGGCCAAAGCCGTAAAACTTGACCCTTCTAATAAAGCTAGGCAAATATCACGGAGCTACTCCCTTCCAAAAACAGTGGCAATACAACAGGTGAACAAAAGCAACATAAACCATTGAAAAAAATGTGAGAATGTCGTAATCTTGATACAGAACTAAAATTGTCCTTCTGGTTGATGGGACGTTCACAATCAACATATGGTCACAAACCTTCGCCGACTATGCATGAGAGTTCAACTGATAGCCAGATAAGCAGATAACTTCACCTTTCTCATCTGATCCAGACGCGGCTTTCGATTTTACCTTTTTCTTCCGAGGTGCACGACGATTAGCAGTCTCAACCTGAACATCACGAACACATAGCTTTAAACCCAACCGAAAAAAAGATTAAAGGGCATCAGCAACTGACCTTCCTGTCATTATTCACGAAGTCAACGTCTTCGACCTCGTTCTCTTTGTTAGACGAAGCCCGCTCAGTCGTTACAGGGTGAGCAGTTTCTATCGACTCACCAACTGCATTACTCCCTGTTTCTTCTTTGAAAGTCTCATCATCTGAAGTTCTTAATGGCTGCACCCTCTTTTTTCCACTCGCGACAGGTGTTTCCGACTCCAATCGTTGTTTCTTTTTTTGAGCAGGGGCTTTTATTGCGGTTGAACTACGTCTCCTCAGAATCCTCTTTTCTGAGACGTCTGCAGCGCTATCTTGCGTGAGTTCTCCAGGTTCTCGCTCGTGATCTGGGTCAGCTGTGGGAGAGGAGCTCTGTGAGATTCCATCCTTTTTCTTGGTTGCTTTTTTGATCGGTGCCTTTTTAACACCAGTCTCTCGACTAGGGTTTGGTGACACCTGTACTGCCAGCGAGCGTCTGCGAGTAGTAACCATATCTGATAAAAGATTCGGGTCTATTGAATACTGTACAAAACAATCAACGATCATAGTATTCAGAACAACAGGGTGCATTTTCCAACAACAGGAGAGAGTAAGAGGAAAGTTGAACGGAATCGCTTTCAATCAGCTTTTTCCTTTGCGCCCAAGTGAACTGAGCGAGAATTTCCAAGTGCTTCAAGTTTCATAGCTGATCACCTAAAATTTATGCCCGAAACGTGAGCGCATAATCTTCATCGAACATCTCGCCTAGGCCGACCAAGCCTTCCATCTCCCCGGAGTCGGTTAATTGGTACCAGACTCGTCTTGGAGCATAAGAGCACTGACTTGTACATTGGTTGGCCACCGCAAATCATTGTATAGGCCAGATACGATTCTGAATGGAAGTCTAGTGCGGAAGGCATCCCCCAGCCGGGATTGATCAACGCCAAAAACCTCATCCCTTTTTCTCCTTTTTCGCTTGGATTGAATAAAATAGACGCATCAGGATTTACCACGAATAAAACAGATTATTCAAATGAGACTCACCAATCCATAACCGTTCATGTATCACGAAGCTGCTGGTCTGATACAGCTAGAACTAAGCCGAACAGACACAACTATTCTAAATTTTATTCAACAAAGGATAAAGACAACAATTTGAGGTAGATAGCACTAATGTAACAATGACGGGAACAAAAAAAAAGAGATTAATTTGAGATTCTGTCGCAAACATCACTTTCAAAATAGCATCCAATAGAATAACGCCAAGTCAAGGGGAAGCTTGGAAACAACACTGGAGATCAACTTCGAGTATTACCATGGTCCTTAATGAATGATTAAAGTAGAGATAGATATCCCACAAAACCATGCGCAAATCTCCCAACAATACGGCATCATAATTAGCATCAACCCAGGACACAATTACTGGACAGTGACATCTATGCCAATACTCAAGATAGTCAATAAGTCTCTGTAACTGGCAATCATTAACTCACTGGATGCCTTGTAGGAATTGAAAGCAGTGACTACTGTTTGCGACACTATTGCAGATTATATTGAGGTTCCCGTAATACTCAGATAAAACTATGACGATATTGACGATATTCTTTCAACAACGAAGAGATCCGTGCATACATCGCATCTCAGCTTTCTTACAGACTACAAGAGCGGAATTCGAAATTATAAAAACAAAGATAAAACTATACGTTTTTCAAACAAATCAATTTTGTACATCGGAAATGAGATTTAAAGAGGTTAACAATGTTTCGATAAAACATCCTTCAGGATAACGGGTATTAGTTTTGCACAATGAATAAAGACTATAGGGGGTAGTATTTCAGATCGAAAAAAAAGAAAGTACGACTTTAACAGGTAGTCATCGTCGAGCAAACAAAGAAATCTTCAATGATTAAATCGATAACACGAGCGTGAAACAAGTAAGCTTAGTTGAATGCATAATGAAATTATTAAGAAACTGTTGGTAGACTCATCGGTTGTTAATTTTTTAACTTCATCAAATCGTCGTGCGTAAATATTTGACGCTCCGCCATGACCGTTCTATCAATTACACAGTTCTCCTCGGCTTTTTCCTCTTTCGCATCTTTATCCTTTTTCTTCCTCCCTTTCGCCTTAACAGAAAATCATTAGCAAATTTCAAAGGTGCACAACTACAGGAACTGGTGCCCTTAAAAAGAAGAATATTTAAGCGACAGTAGTAATTAATTGTGTTCAATATTAAGACAGATTACGATATCTTCTATAGTGAATCTGCTATAATAATCTTCCTACTATTAGTACTATTTAGTACTCTATATATCAATGCCTTGACCAACCTTGCGAAAAGATGGAAGGCATGAAAGAAGACCTAACAAAATAGCAGGAGAATCCTTTTAAATCAATAGGTCATCATAGGGCAAAAAACAAATAGTAACAAGACTAGCAAAAAATGTTGAAGTTATCCCCAAGTGGCCCCGTAGGTAAATCGATGAATCTATTCAATCTTTATTCTCAGTCAGATTAGTCCCACAGCAACAGGCTCTTACTCACTGAACACCAGGAGTGACCGAAGCAGGTGACTAGCAATCACAAGTTACGATTTACGTTGATGTAAGGCGGAATCTTGACGCTCATTAAGGGGAGGATAACAAAGCATGAAAACAACACGCCAAGCAATAATAAAAAGGAAGCACGTTGATCGCAAAAATGGCCTAAGAGGTCATGATCCTTTGCTTATGAACTACAGTATTACACTATGAGCACGAAAACCACACCTTTTCTTTTGTTGATCCAAACTTTGATTTGACGTAGTGAAGCCGAAGTATTCCACGGATCAGCTTTTTCCAATTTCCTAACACACGTTCTTCTCGACGCTGTAAAAATAACGCAATTGATGAGTTGTTCTGACTTGATGTTCTTCTTAACTGCTAAAGATTTTGCTGCAGTACATCTAGCGAAAGTTTTACAATGATAGCGCGTTATGGTCAGATTCGGCCCTGGATTGGAAACCGTACTTGTACTGTCTGGTACCGTGCTGTTTACAGCTCTCATCACCGAGACCCTGCATCCTGCATCACTTTGCACTAAGCCAGTAAGAAAACGATGTAAGAAGGGTCTCGGCAGCTTACGGCATGAACAGCACGGTGTCTAGAATACACTAATACGGGTTCAAGTCCCGTCCAAAACCCTTGCAAACAGCTGATAACATTTTTAATACAGTATTGAATTCTACAACCTTACTCTATTGGTATTAAGCTCATGTCACCAAGTACACTTTCACCGACAACTCAGATCGTGATGACGGTTTCCATCCAAGATTGGTGATATTTGAAGAAATATTCCAGCTATGAAAGAAACTAAATTTCTATCTGAAACAAATACCCACCTTGTTTTCTCGCTCCTCTTTGGTCGCCTCGAGCCGCTTCCATTCATTAATAAACTTGTCGGCATCTTCTTCGAGCACACAGGCTCCATCAATTCTGAAAAGAACCGCTCCCTTGATGAAAGTTTGATTGGATGAAAACATTTCGAACTAAGGTACTCACATAGGGAAATTCGTGCCAGAATTGAAATCCCATCCAGTAAGTGCTGGCACACATTCGAGTCCTCCCAGTCTTCGAGCTATAGATACTAGACCAGGAAGACGTAAATGAACTGCTCCTATCGGACACATGGACGGCACATACATATAGACATTTCCGAATTCATTACAAGGAATGCGACCCTAAATTCAATCGATGTCGCCGAACCTGTGAAAGCGTTCAAAATATTCACAACAATCAAGCTGACATAATAATTTCATACTTTACAGCAAACCATAAGCTTTCTACGTCATCTTTTAAACATATATCGGAACTGCTTGCATTTCAAGCAAGCGAAAGACCTATGCATGACAAAAACTTTCCAAATAGGGAAGGAAACTCAAGTATACGTACATCCTTTACTACTGGACGACGATATGGCTCCGTCTGCCAATATCCAAACGCATCCACATACGTCTGTTCTCGCTGCTCAGCCGGAATGCGCAGATTAGGTCGTGCTTTTACCACTTTGTATGCGGTTTCTCCTTCCTGCAAAGGTGGCACCATTCATTGCTCGCGTATTATACCTGGACTTACTAGGAATTACCTTCACACTTCTAGCCATTTTTATCCAATTGCGTTCAGTCTGTAACGTGAAAACAGTGGACCGAGGGTACACCTTGTGACCACGGACTTCACCCAGAGGTTTTTGATCTTCTGCTTTGGGATAAAGACCTTCAAACTTCAGCAGATCCTTCTCGAGAACATACCTGACAACGATAGCAAATTTGTCACGGATCCACACAAAGCTTTTTTTCAACTTACAGAGGATGGTTTTTATACTCCGATAAAGTAGCTGGTAATGGTTTGTTGACGATTTCTTGTCGCATATGAACGTCTTCGAGTTGCGCTCTCTTTGGATCAGCCCTGATCATCTGAAAAAAGTACATTTTCTAAACACAAGACAAGCAGAAATCGCCTGAGACGCCATACTTTCGCAAATTTCCCGAACATATTCGGAAATATCGTGCTCAAAGACACTATCACTACTGGGAGATTCATAGGATAAAGCGTATTTCTATTCCATTTTAAAGAATATGACAACAGCAAACCTACTTTCTTTCTTAGAGTACTGCAAAGCCACATTGGATCAGTTCGGCGTCTGCGAAACTCTGGACGAGGATAGTCGGATGCATAACGAGCGGTCACTTCACGAACACCACCCTCTACAAAATACAAAATGTGGAGCCATTAGTAATTGTCAAACCAATGAGAACTACAGAGACACAAGGACTAGCAGAAACAGAAGGTTGGAAGTTTGTGACTTCGAATCAATTCCGTTTCCAGTAATCTTTCCACAACTCTTAAGCTTAAACTTGGATGGCTTACCCTTAAAGTAAAAATGAACTGACCACTATCAATAGCGAACACATATACGACAGGCTTCGTCACATTCTCTTCAATCGAATTAGGTTCGTCAACAGTGCCTCGAAGTGGGTCAACACCTATAGCGGAAATCAAATCGGATACCTAGTTCAAAATCAATCAATAAGTAAAAAACCAACATATCCATCGATTCTGCTTCTTGTCCCAGTATTCCACCCAGTAATTGCGAATCATTCCGCGATAATCTGTTCCAGTACTTTTCTTCTTTGAACCTTCCTTACTCTTTTGTTTCTTTTGTGCTGTAGCAGACGCTGATTCGGAACGTTTCTTCATCATTGCAATTTGCTTTAATACAGCCTGAACTCCGTAGATACAGTCCACAAAATCGTTAAAACTACACCTAAAGAGGGACTGACCTTATCCCAAGTCCTTGGCATTACCTGCGTGTTCACGCAGATGCGCGCGATGCATTCCATCGAAACAAAAAGTGCAAAAAGGAGCTGAAAATTCAAGTGCAATCGAGATGCAAACCTAAAAGGTTGGGGGGAAGGCATATTATTCAAAGAAGTCATCATATTGTAGGTGTAACATATGGAATGTTGCTTCCGTATGCAAGCCGTACAGGCTCTTTGAGAATTTCGACAAATGGTGAAGAAGTCAGCGAATCACTTACAACAGCACGATCGACGTCATTTTCAAAAACGTCCTGTGAAACCATCTCAGCCAATCGAGCGGTGGCATCGAAACGGCAAAGACCTGGTTCATAAGTAATGGGAGCTCCAGATGCCTTGAAAAATTTAGAACTACAAATTGGCCCGCCACACAATTTGACATTGATTTCGATTCCCCTACCTTGAAAGAGCTGTGAAAGTACTTGACTATTTTTCGAGCTTTCTCAACTGTCACCTCGCCCACAAAGGCCTGGTAGCCGGAAGGCATCTGGTAAAGCGACGATTTTCAGTTAGGTTATGAGAACATGATTTGCGAAACTTACCTTGGTCAGCATCAATGATGGAATTAGGCTTTCTTCTAATGCAACCTTCCTCAAATATTGAAGGTGACCAATATAGCAAAGAATATTGACCTAAAACCCAAAGATTTCTACACAGGGATACTGAAAACCAAGAAGCCTAGCCACTTGATTTTGAAAAGTCGTACTTTGTGGCATATCTCCCAGTTATCTCGTACGCATTTGTTCACTTCTTGACGAAGATAGATAGCCCACCAATCCTTTTCCTCAGCCTTTTTGAGCGTTACTTGAACATGCTGAAAAGTGTGCTTCAAAGAATTTTTGGCAGCTAACTATCTGATAAATAATCATCACCTTTGACTTGGCTTCGTTAGCGTCCACGAGTTCCATCTCCTCCCACTCGTCTTCAGAAGACGACGCTATAAAGGAAGGATAGAACAGTCGCTTTTGTTAACACGGAACTTCAGCTTTCGACAGCTATTTCACAGTTTATAATCATCTAAACTAAACACCGACCGTCCTCATTCTTCTGCTCCCCGTTTTCCGTTCCCGTCGTACCCGCCGCAGTACCGTTTTTGGGAACGCACTTAGCTTTCATCCCATCCACGATCTTGCAACTTTCTTCATGAGTCATCTCTCGATGCCTGCCAACAGCCAAGGCTGCAGCGAAGATCCTAAAAACAATTTCTCCTCTAGAAAGTTCATGAATACTTAGAATTTATAACGACTAGAAAAGTGCAAGGAGCAATTCATCCACTATGGGGTTGAGCATCGTGACACACAAAGTAGACAACAGTTAGAAGGATAAGCCTCAGCGTGAACTGGGCACTTTCTAAAAGGAAAACAATGTTTGCGTGTAATCATAAGCGCTTCACCTGAACTTTAACATCTTTCTCTCTCCACGTCTTAACAACCTTGGGGGAACAACAATATCTCCTAGGACAACAGGTTGACTCGTTTTTTGCCAAGGTTTCAGCGGTTTCGAAGAAGCCGGACGTTGTTGAGGCTGATTTAATATTGTTGCTTCGCGTGCTGAAAAATGGCAGGAAACAGTAAGTAGCAAACATTGTTTGTGCTATTCAAAAGATGGAAGGAAAGTAAACAGAAAAAACAAACCTGAACATGCACCTCTCGATTTCGTTGACTTTCCTGCTGTTGATTTTCCCGCTTTTGATGAAGCATGCGACTTCCTAAATTCATACCTTGACATTGAATGATGATTACTAGAAGGAATATGCGTGCAATTGATGCTGCTCAAACCACATCGAACATGGAAAGTTTGACATTTAATCCTGATTCCCTATGATATGGTAAATTTCTCGAATATTTACTAACAATTGAACTAGTAGGCTATGAAAAGAATTCATATTCTTCTTCCCAGCGTTAATGTCGCACAGTCTGGTATATTTCGGCATGTTTTTGTTTACCGCTTCCACCTAATTTTATCATCGGCATACCCTGATGGCTCATTTACTTCGTCGAATTTCTTCTTGATCACGTCTCGCCACCACGTCCAACAGCAGATCCATTTACACTTTTTCATTTCTGCTGAAATGAATTTGCCTTTCGAGACTCTTTTACACGCGCTAGTACCCGCTGTCGTAAAGCATCAGGACTGCTCTGTATAACCTCACCTGCAGCGCTGTTTATCGCAGAGAATTTTGTTGGGTTATCTCTAGTTCAACCATGCCGGCTATATGCAAGCCTTCCCGGCTTGGTCCATACTACGGTCAGCAGCCAAGCCAATCCACAAACATCGGAAGTCCTGCAACCTTTTGATACCTTCTTCTAGACAACCTGCAATAGGCTCCGAGTACTCCTTGTGGCTGGAAAGCTTGATCTTCTTCACTCTTGACCGAAGCTCATTTTCCACCAAAACTTTCTGCCATTTCTGCAGCTTGTCCTGGTGTTCTTCTCCAATCGATGTCATCACAGTAGAGAGTGGTCTTCACTGGTTCAACCAATCAATAAATCCTTTTTTGCCGAAATGCATTGCTAGCGGGAAGGAAGGAAATTGAATGGGCTAAAAGTGACCGCTAGTGTACTCCAACCGTGACGAGTTCTTGCAATCCGAGAGAGGCTCGTACGATGTCGCGGACCTACCGCACCGTAATCAGGGAGATCACAAGCTGCAGGATGTTCTGACTTCAAAGTACTCCTCAAAAAATTGTTGTGAAAGGCGGTCGAAAGCCTTCTTCAGATCGAGCAAGGTAGCAGGACTACCATTTCTTGTCTGCTCCTCCATCGCCTCTGTAACTAAGGAAATAGCATCCGTTATAGACCTTATTGACACGACACCGGATTGCTTGCAAGACCGCATACAAAAAATAAGCACTGCCCAACAAACAGTTGTCTCTCCTAGGGAAAGAACCGCACATCATGTGCGGAAATACTGAGCGCAGCTGCAAACAGCATCAATACCGTGTTAAGACGGCTGGAGGTTGCTACGCTGGCTAGCTTACCGCAAATTGTTCTCCATTTTCCTCATGCTCGCTAAGCGTTGAGATCTGATAAGTTCACAGCATGTAAAATATTCCTTGTATTTCGGACCCACCGTTCAGTCTTGGAACTTTTGTTCTGTGGTCGACCACTGCTTCCACTCTTTTCTACACTGGATCGTTTCGATTGCTTGGCTTTTGATGGAGCAAAGCTCGCGTCACTGTCCTCTGGATCTTCGTCAACTGAAGAACCTTCAGTTTCGGAGTCTGGCTGGAATAGACACATTGTGGAGCGTAACATTCGATGAAAAAAAATCTACCTCTTCCGATGAAGCCTCTACTGAAGAAGGAACTTCGCTTTCACTTTCTGATGCAGATGAAGAGCTCGGAGATTCCTCGTCGTCATCATCATCTTTTATCACATAACTTTTGCGAACCACATTTCGATCACTTCGGCGTACGGCATCGCCTTAAAAAGAAGTATTTGAAGAAGTTCATTCACATTGCGAATAAAAAAATTTTTGTAAAAGAGTGAGAAAGAGAACAGCCATGTTAACTTTAAAATGTGCGTCAGACTTACACGAAAACCACGTGAACAATAACATACCAAAATCACCAAAATCTGGCTCAGCTTTCTTCAGATTCTTAGGTTTGACGTTTTTGGATTTGGAGACTGAATTGGTGACTTTCCTCTTCTTCTTCAGTTTTTTAGTGGGTGGCTTAGGAGGGCTCTCGGATCCATCCTGAACTAGTCAAAATTCTTAATAGGCCACAACATCATAGAAATGCGAAAATGTTCAAATTCCTCAATTCACTGACTTCATCGCTCGTATTTCCGAAATTTTCCCATTCTTCTTCGTCCCGTTTAGGAGGCTTTTGCATATTTGATGGCTTCTTTCCTTTTGCTGGCGTTTTCTTTGCTGGAGGACGATTCTGTGCTTCTTCCTCCTTCATCTTTGACGGCGAATCACTTTTCTCGCTAATTAAGCTTGGCTGCACTTTTTCCTCAACTTCTTCCGATGGTTCAGCTGTAGGAATACTCTTAGCTCCTTTGCCATTCTCTTGAAGTTCCTCTGTGTCAGAAGTTTTCATGTTGCAATCCACTTCATTAAGTTTAGACTCGGAAGGCTTTTGTTCCATACGCGGCTTTTTCTTTTTCTGCCCGGAAGGTTCTTTCTTTGCGGAAGGTTCCTTCTTCGCAGGTGGCCTTCGTCCACCCTGTGATTTCTTCTCGTCGTCTTCAGGTTCGTATTTGATAGGAGCTTTACGTTTACGAGGCTCTTTGTCATGCTTTGATTCAGCTGCGGGACTCTGAGGTACGACGTTGTTTGGTTCAGCCTTCTTCTTGGTGGGCTCTTTTTGGGCCTTCTTCTGATTTTTGACAGGTTTCTTTACACTTGGCGTCTTCCCATTCTTCTTCATTGATTCTCTCTTGGGAACAACAACCTCTGAAGGTAGTGGTTCCTGTGCTACATGAGAGCGTCTGCGCGAAGCAACCATTCCTAAACTCAAAAATTCAGTTNAGACATTCGACGGAATACATCCACAAATGCAATTCAATGAGACGTTTAATCATATTTATATTCCCAAAATAACAATTAATAAAAGGCACCTTAACACATCGCAGCATTAAAATTATGGCAAAGACTAAGTAAATACATCTTATTTACAATCATATAATAGAATAATCATGGTCATCTAGTGTCTTGACTAGAGGAAAATCACCAGTGAATGAGATCAACTTAATAAAGTAGAAGTCGCTTTGGTGAATGCATTTTTCAAGGTCTGACACTGTCTACGGGAGGAATATGGGAGCGACGAAGTCCACTTCACTGCTATTCGACACACGCTTAGGGAATGGTCGCCTGAATATGCAATATTAGTGGAATCAGTCCACTTCTAATTACTTTGTTCCCCGCTAGCTCTGGGATGAACTCAAGCATACCTCTACTTCCCGGATCATTTCCTCATGTCTACAATAGTTGTGCCATGATTGGTTGTGTACTGAACGTGATCGGCTTCAACGAATAATTTCTCGTCCTCGGGATGAACGTGGAACCCTTTTTGGGCACACGATTCCACCACACTCATGCCATACGACGTCAGTACGAATGTGCCAACCCTAAAAACAAACCCATTGCTACAACCTCGTAGTGCTCGTTATTACAGCTAAACTCAGCAATTATATCTTTGCTAGGCATTGAGCTAACAAAAAGGCAAAGCATCAAGTTTTCGACGTGAAATAATCGGGCAACAAAATGATCCTACACCGACTTCCCATCGGCCCTTTTCATAAAGGGCGCTGGCTGTTGGACGAGAAGCAAAAGGCGAAAAGCATTGATGACATTCCGACTGCGACTGTCGCTAATGCTAGTATTACCACCTTCAAGAACTCGTTACTTGCTTTTGCTTTGAATAAGGATGGCTGTGCGCTTCAAAAACATACGAGTTGATGGACTTGTGATATACCCGATCAAACTCCGAATTCCTTCGCCTTTCACCAATCGGATACCCTTCTAGACGTCTGACACGACTGGGCGCTTCTAGAGTCCAAAATGTGTGTTGAACGTAACTTAACAACGCTGGACGCACGGTGGACGTCTGTTGACGACGTCACGTCTACGCCGCCGCTGACGTATTTGTTCACCGCTTGGAAAACAACATGCTACACCGCAAAGTCTCTCAGAGGCGACGCAGACGTCGTCAACAGACATCCATCGAGCGACCACCGTTGTTACCAGACGATGCCCAATGTTTGCCGGCAACGCTTCGTTTTCAACGCACGTCGTTGAACCCAGACTTGTCCATTTAGCGTCATTGTGGAAGCTCATTTTCTAGATGGTCAGATATCCAGGATTTGTACTTTGGTCATGACATGGTAGACCCTCTATCCCACCTCTGTCCATGGCGTTACCATCGGTAACAAATCCTGTCTGAGTTCTATAACTAAACACAATGGGACCAGACGACTTCACCCAGTTAGTCAAATGCGGACCAACCGCATGGATGGAAGACCTTTGAGCGCAGGAGAGTGATCGATGGTCTTTCAGCTACTATAAAGAATGCCTTCCATCCCTGTACTACTGCTACGGTGAAACAAGGAAAGGGCAGGAACATAAAACAAAGTACTACAAGCATAAAAATGAAAAACAATGTGTTAAAGAAACCACAAATGAGAGCTACGTTGTTTTACTAGCGAATTTTTAATGTCTCTCAATGCTAGAACCGAGTGTGAGATAGGAACAAAAATTTTAAAATTGAATTGCGTAGCTGTCTTCCTGTAAGATTTAATACCTACAAACCTTAGGGACTACCAGAGCTACGTAACAGTTTCTCTCTTTCATCGAAGTCAAAAACATGTTGCGAAATTCCTTATCTTGTATACTACGAAACTATTGAAACTGATATAACATTACGTAATCCTTCACCCATTTAGCCAACTAAATAAACCCAAATAATGAAGGAAGAATGGAGATCCCTGCTATCTAATTCGACAGAAATAGCCACAAAAAATAAGGATGAACTGGTTACTCGGAGTCGATCCCCGCCCATGTCTGCGGGTTGCGAAATCCCGAGCACGAAAACAACCACATGAACAGCGAAAACAACCAACGGCTCAAAAATCGATCCCGTCACTCTCAGCAAAGACACAACAACGTGAACAGGTTGCGAGAGCCAAACTGAGAGGCATGGCAGAACCTGGCTCTTAGATACGACAAAAAGGTTTTTATAACTGGAAATTCGGGGTTCTTAAAGGGGCGTCTTAAATCAAAAAATTTCAAAACACATTACAGTCATTATTCAAACTTTTTCAACCTAAGGTCATAGGATTGGTACGGTACCTAAATCAATACTCAAAACAACTCAGATTCGAACAGGAATTCAGGTGGCCAACACTAGTTACCATGAATTTTAATGACATATAAACAAGTGACATAATCCCGAGTTCAAGTCTCAAAATTAAAAAGAGTTATTGGAAGTCGTAAGGTGGCGGACTTGTTAAGAGGTAGGCTACGAATGGTTACAGAGTAACTATAAAAGAATTTTCCAAACTTATCAGAAGAGAAAATGTGGGATCAGACGCGTCAATGAATTAAGGGAGACAAACCCATGCAAGACATTTCAGCAGCTTTAACGAGAAGAGAAGTGAATAAGAAAAACTAAAATGAAAGTAAAAGAAAAACTGTTGGTGAATAGCGGCCAGATGATTACCGATAGACGCAGCGGGTGGTAGCTGACTGGTCCATACCCTTCTCTTTGTAGTTGCACCGATTATAGATTAACATTTGAAGGCTTGAAACTCGTGAAATAAAAAGTAGAGAGTAGGACAGCAA